TGTACATGTTAAGATTTAATTAGATAGAACCATAGCTCTGATACCATGAAGGAAATCGTGCTATGTCTATATGCATAATACACAGCAGAAGACATGTATGTGCAAAAATACTAAGCATGTAGAGAGCATGAAATATTCATATGGATCGTCTAATTAAATCTAACATGATCCTTATTATTAAGTGAGCATACAAGAGTTAGAAAGTCATACTTTCGTAGCGTGATTCGATGGAAGATCGAATAACCCCTAGCTCTTGCTCCTTGTAGTAGAAAATCTCCTTGTAGTGGATCTCCAAGTCTTCAAGTGAGCTTGATAAAATGGGAGTCTTCTTAAGACACAAGGCAAGATATCCACCCCGGGGTTCTTAAAATCCTACTACTTCCTCTTGCTCAAAGATTGCTAAAGTTTAGTAAGAGGAGAGCTCTCTTTTATTCTCTTATGGAAAAAACACTTAGCCAATTTTTCATTAACCTTTCCATAAGAAAAAGAGCTCATATTTATAGAGTGAAATGTGTTCATGATATGAATGACTCATCCTATGAGTCATGCAATGAATCATCAAAAATTAATGATTAATCAAGTGAGTCATGCAATGAATCATCTTATGAATCATTACATTTCAAAACCATGTGCTAATAAACCATGTGCTCAAACCATACCACTAAGTGACTCATCTCATGACTCATTATGCATGGTATGTGTATTTCATAAATGAGAATACCAAATTATTATCACTAATACAGTATTTCATAAATACGGTATATAGTATTATTCCAATCTTTAACTAATTAGTCACTATATGACCAAATAATCAAGAGTTGACCAAAAAGTCAACTGTTGACCAAAAAGTCAACTAGTTGACTAAAAGTTAACTTTATGGGAAAAATACTGGAATTCATTTCCTAAGCACATAGCATTCCGATTTTACCGATATACATAACCGTTTATGTGTATCCGGAAGAAATCATATATGCGTATCAATCATACGCATCACTCCATAAATTGTGTTTCATAGGATTCAAGTACGCGCTTGGTGTGACTCTAGGGCCCAACTTAAAAAACTCGGTAGTGGATCATATCCATAAGTACAACAGAGGTGCTAGCTACACATGAAGACCACCCGGGTATAAGTTGTGATAAAGGTCTGCAAGATGCTTATCCAATTTTATCAGGACCACTCAATGATAATACCGTACAGTCCGGTCTCTTCGTCAAACCATGTCAAACTATTGAGCCTAGGGTATGGCAAACTGTCAAACCCTAATAGCTTGATTAGTGTTTATTGATATTAAACTCATAACCTATAAGATCAAACTGACACTCAGTTTATCTTATTCACCTTGGCCAAGGATTTCCAGGCTATAGTTATATCAAACAATCTTATGACATCAACCCCTATACTGGGAGAGACGAATCCCTTCTTGGCATCTCAATATCTACTTATGTCTCGGGATGTACCCAACAAGAACCGTTATGCACAATTCAATAAGAACTGTGGTTAGGTAAAAGTCTAAATACATCTTTACTGACATATAAGATATTGCACTCATGCCTCAGGTCAAGAGACTACTATGTACTATATCACTTGAGAACTTCTATTTGACAGTTAAGTATATTACCAACTAGATGTTCTCGGCGAGTCGTTCAGTCAACTCATTCACTAATGAGTCACCTGTATACTGTATCTTGATGTCTCACATCAATGATCTAAGAGATTGATCATCTCCTTCAAAAGGAGAAATAAAGCATACACTAGTCTAAACCAAAGTGATGATGTCCTATCTCAACACTTCATCAACTAGGAACATTTTAGAATATACGTTACCGACTAATCAGATCTCTTCATTACGATCACTATCCGAAATGTCTGATAGTCTAGTATTTATTCTAAGGACATTATCTGTATATTTAGAACATCAGATAAATCTGACCAAAATAGCATACTATCATTTTGAACAAGGATGTTATATACATATAGGTCCTGTTACAATATACAATAATTGCCTGCAGGGCACCTATATCTAACAAACTCCCACTTGCACTAAGGCCAATTATAGTATCTAATACCCAATAGCTCAACAAGTTTCTCAAATTGTGAACGAGCAATTGCCTTTGTGAATGGATCTGCTATATTATCTTTTGTGTCTACTCTTTCAATCTTGATCTCCCGGCGATCAACTATCTCCCTGATCAAGTGATACTTCCTCAGAATGTGTCTGGACTTATGGTGAGATCGGGGTTCCTTTGTCAGAGCTATTGCAGCATTATTATCACAGTATAAAGGTACTGGATCTTTAATGGTGGGAACAACTTCCAGCTCTAAAAGGAACTTCCTCATCCAGACAGCTTCTTTAGCTGCATCATTAGCTGCAATGTATTCAGCTTCCATAGTCGAGTCTGCTACTGTATCCTGCTTGGAACTTTTCCAGCTGACAGCTCCTCTATTGAGGGTGAAAACATATCCTGATACAGACTTACTATCATCGATATCGCTCTGAAAGCTTGAGTCGGAAAAAGCCTCCATTCGGAGGTCACTTTTACCGTATATCAAAAATAACTCTTTAGTCCTTTTAAGGTACTTAAGTATATTCTTGACCGCTTTCCAGTGCTCTTCTCCATGATCAGATTGGTATCTACTTACCAAACTGAGTGAATAAGCGATATCTGGTCTAGTACATAACATGGCATACATGATCGATCCTACTGCCGAGGCATAAGGAATTAGACTCATGCGTTTCCTCTCTTCATCAGTCCGGGGAGACATCTTTTTAGAGAGGGAGATTCCAGGAGATGCAGGTACAAAACCTTTCTTGGAATTTTCCATGCTAAACCGTTTTAGCACTTTGCCAATGTATCTAGATTGCGATAATCCTAACATCCTTTTAGATCTATCTCTATAGATCTGAATACCCAGTATACAGGATGCTTCACCTAAATCTTTCATGGAAAATCTTTTTGATAGCCAAATTTTAACCGCTTGTAATGACGGTATGTCATTACCGATTAAGAGTATATCGTCTACATATAAAATAAGAAACGATATAATACTCCCAATTATCCTTTTATACACACATGGTTCATCTGGATTTTTGATGAAACCAAACTCTTTGATAGCATCATCAAAACAGATGTTCCATCTCCGTGATGCTTGCTTCAGTCCATAAATAGATTTAAGCAATCTACATGCTTTTCCACTGCTCCCACTAACTACAAAACCCTCTGGTTGCGTCATATATATGCAGAGATTACACAGATAACTCCTAAGATTATTTCTATCATGTTTACCTGAATGTAATTAATCCAATAGAAAATATTCCTTAAGCTCCATTAAACCCAAAACTTCGTCCTCGTTCCCATTTTCATGGCGTCTTCTCTCCATTTCCACTCTCCTCTCCTCCTAATTCCTAAACCCTAACCCTATATCCAAATCCTCTTCCCATTTTCTAAGGCCCTAATCCTCTTGCTCTCTCCCTCTTAAATATCAACGACGTTCTCATTAAAGATGGAATCTTTTCGATCGAAGAGAGCTAGTGTATTTTTGCCTCTCCATCAAGAATGAAATAGGAGAGGCAGCGGCGGACGAGGAGGCAATAGGTGGCTTTAGGTCTTTGGTGAGTTTTCATATTCAAAAGAAGAAAAAAAAAGGGGGGGAGAAAGAGAGAATTTTGATTGTTTTCAGTGATTTTGATTCAGCTTGAATTGACCTTTTTTTTCCCTTTTCTGCACTTAGATTTGATGTATAGTGAAATATAATTAACTTTTGTTGTCAGGAGAGATGCCTCAAAATTCAATTGTTATTTTTCCAAAGTAAAAACTGTGAGGTATAAACCCCCAGCATTTCATTAAAAAGAAGTTAAAGAAACATCTTCGATAGGAAGGGATAGAAACATATAAAATATACATACATTTTGATCTCAGCAAAGAAAGGCAAAAGAAAAATTCATCATCAAAATTCACTTCCCTCTCCTCAGCAAATCACCCATCGCTTCACAAGTCCGTCCGTCCATCTTAGTCTTCATCAACTAGCTCGTGAGTATGACACACAAAAAAATATATCTTAAGGGACTCATACTGCAAATGTCTTTAACCCAATTCCCTTCTGATTGATGGAGGGTCATAGTTATCAACCAATCTAACTTCAGATTCGGCATCGATAGCAGGTTAAATTGTGATCAACCCTTAAATTGATAGCATTCAGAGAGATAGAGAGTTTATACCTTACAAACCTTATTTAGACCCCTAAGGACGTCGCCCATTTCATCGACATACCCATTGTCCATTTCTTTCTCCCTCAAACGCAATGTAACCATCAGAGCTCAACCTGCCAACCATGTCAAAACCGTATTTAATTAGTGTGAATGTGGGGAGGGGGACACACCCACGTGATGGGTGTGTCCCATCCCATCACCCCTCGCTCTCAAGAGCGGCCACAAACTCGTCATGGGGCTCAAGAGCGGCCACACCCACGAACTCGTCGTGTCGCTCTCAAGAGCGGCCACAAACTCGTCATGGGGCTCAAGAGCGGCCACACCCACGAACTCGTCGTGGGCGCCTATCCTCAAATCACGGAAATCCGTGATTTTCTCTTGGCTCCGGATTTTCTCCTCTCCTATAAATAGAGAAGGGAGGCAGAGAGGAAATTGAGTGTGGGGAGAAATTAGTGGGAAAAATACTAAGTGGGTTGTAGAGTTCTTTTGAGAGAAAAGAAAAAGTGAGTTGAGAGAGAACTTGTAAAGTTTGGTATTCTCCTCATAGTGAAACCCCCCTCCCGTGGACGTAGGCAAGTTTGCCGAACCACGTAAATATCGTGTTTGTATTTGTCTTATCTGTGAGTTGTCATAGCTTGTAGGTTCCCTCAATATTCGGTCTTAGAGCTGATGAGAGGAATAGTGTATATTTCACTTTGATGAAATATATCACTTTCGATTCTTGTTTCCTTTGAGAAATAAGAATTTCACTATCTATTCTCGTTTCCTTTGAGAAACAAGAATATAGAGGTTGACTTGTGCTTTTGTGACAACAATAGCCAGTGTTATCTCTCAGGTGATATCGCTTCCGCGGCGGTGGGCGTGACTCCGCCCCAACAATTAGTTTTAGACAACTCTTTCTCCCAAATAGCAGTCATCAACCCTTGAGCTGTATAGGTGATAATCATTCACCTTGGTTAGATCAATCTTCTGCGCTAAAGAGCCACATTGGTTGTATTAATGGCATCTTGATCATCAACCTAACTCCAACTTACAACCCTTGTATTTTAATTTAGCTTCATGCTGCAAAAAGAGGTGAATTGCACCCTGCAGTCTGTATAGACATTCATTAAAGTCTCAATTGTCTTTTCAAGTGAGATATGAATCATTATTCTGAAGAGATTCTTACTTAACAATTAAATGTTATGTACATGAGCTATTTTGATAGGACCAGCTTTAGTCTCACACCATTGGTACATATCCACTTTCCCCTGAAAATATTAGACTTTTTTCTTGTAGTCCTCTCATTGTCCTCCAATGGTTCTTCGTGTTGACCAGGTTGCGTAGCTGTGCAATCATTTCTATCGGCCAATTTGATAAAAGATCCTTCATGCAGCAATCATAGTTATGATTTTCATCGTTAATCTACAAGATGTTGAAATTCAACCACAAAAGTTGTTGAAGACCAATAATCATTTGACTAAGTGAATTGCATTGTTCGAGGCCATTAATCGTTTGACTGAGTAAATTGGACTTTTTTGCTTGCACACACCTTGGGTGTGATATTGTATAGTATTGCTATATTTGTAGAAAATACAAAGAATTTTCTAGAATCAGATATTAATCATACATGAATATCTATGAAAGAGCTAATGTGGAGTTGTTGGGAAAGCAAAATACCTTAAAAATAGAGGAGTTTCTTTGGCTGCATCGCTGCTCGCCTACCCACTTCTTTCTCTGAAGATGTGTTATATTATGTAGTCATTGTTTACTCTTCCTTTTTGTATATTTTGAAAAACATGTTGAACCAGAACCTGATAAATTCTCTATGTCAAACTTTCTAAATTCATGAAGATTTTTGAGAATTGTTGATTATATATGCTTAAATCTCTAATGAAGAAATATTACATTATACCATCATATTTCCTGAGAATGCAACTAAATTATGATTATGTCTAACCAATCCTGTTTCTTGTTTCATTGTGGTGATTTGCTGCTAGAATATGCCTTGGTTACTGTTGGTGCACTGTCAGTGACTTGTCTAAGCTTTTGCTAGGACTTGTGTGTTGTTTCATTGGTGATTCAATTACTGCATTTATTTTGTTTATGATATCTATTCAAGCATTAAAACTTTTGTTCCTGTTCCAGAGCTTGACAAGAATTATCTTTTTGGTATCTAACAATGTTGGTCATTGCTGAAGCTCTCTGACTCAGTGAACTGCAAACCATATCTTCTTGGTTTTGCTGCGGTTCGGTCTGTTAAGGGCTAAGGTGCATGGGTACAGTTACAGGTGTTGGTACTGGTACGGGTATGCGACACAACAAATTTGTGAAAAGTAGGGTATGGGAATACGGCTGTAAATACGTATGTTATGTATATTTATATATATTAAGATTAATAATTTACATAAGATTGATATTATGTTTTCCATTTACATGAGATAAATTTATTATAAATAGATGTGGAGTGTAGACTATACATCCAAGTAGCGTGTGAGGTGTGTTTTAAATTAAAACATGTATATACTTGAGTATAAGCTTGAACAAATGGGTGCATATATTCAAGAAGTGTCCATGAAGTTTGGGTACGGGTCCGGGTCCGGGTTCGGTAGGGGTATTGCTTCCAAATAGAAGTACCCTGGTAACATAGGTTAAGGGTTATGCTTGAGCCATTCTTTCAGTTACTTCTCTTTGGTATAGTCTGTTACTCCCTATTGTTTCGAAAGAGAGGCTGTGTATCAAGTGCTATACCATCTGTTGCTTCTTTAGCAACTGTTTTTTTTTTTCCTTTTTTCTTCTTTGGCAACTGTTGTTTTAAGAAATTGGTGGGTGGTAACTGCCTATGTTTAAATAAGAGATTTGACAAAAGAAAGAAGTGGTATCGTCTCTGAAAAAACAGAAGACGACAAAATCGAAGAACAAAAGACAGAAAAGAGAAGAGCTAATGGATAAAACAATGAAAGATCCATGCTCTTAACAGCCAAAAGCTACTCCTCGATCTCAAAGATGGTATCCTTCATATGATTTGCATTCCTCCCTTGATCTTCTGCAGTAGAATCGTGTCGAGTCGCCAAGTTCGTCGAAGTGCTGAAGCAAATCATATGTCTTGTCTCTGAGAGCTCCTGTTAATTTGTAGCGCCCGAGCCAAATGTTAGCAATGCAGATATTAAAAACCTGAGAGTTACCAGCTGATAGATTATTGAAAACTCCATTGTTTCGTTCTCAACAAATAAATCCGAATATCCCTGCACAAATAATACTCAGACAACCCTATAATTCTTATGTACATAGACCCATTGCCAAGCTGAGAATATATATATATATATATAAAGAAGGGAAGTTGTGGAACTCCACAAATGTTCAAGAAGGCCTTCCAAATATTTTGGGCTGATACCCCAAGAAAAATAGAAATACTTCAGGCTGTATCCAGTTGGAGGTAGCAGAGCGGACAAGGACAAGGCCATCGGAGGAGGTGAGGATGTCTTGCGGTGTGGGGATGTCAAAGAAATAAGGTGTGGGGAGACTGAGATTAAGGAATGGGGAGGAATCAAAATAAGGGGGTATCGGTGGGGCTGGAATGCAATTCTACATATTAAGAATTAGTTATTGTATATTAAAGCTCTACTGCATCGTAGATTGCTTGGTCGTCTCTATCTCACGTAGTTTTGGGACATATGAAAGCGGACTATATTTTAGTGATATAGTGATATTTGTATTGATTTAAAATTTTTAATGAATTATTTCAATAAAGCTAGGTACACTCATTGATAACATAATTAGCTTGGATTGTTATTGTAAATGTCCATCCCAGCCGCAGGTTATCTATTGTCATATGGAATGCTATTTTACTACAATTGGCACAACTTCTTGTTGCTTCCAATAATAAAGGTACCTTCAGATATTTCCTTCCCACTTCCACTCAAGTCTTCTTTATGCTTAGTACAGTATTATCCATGAATATTACATAACATGTAGAATAAATGTTTTTTTCTCGACCTTACATCTGATCCGTTCTCTAAGTCTCTTGTTGTCAAGATTATCATGTGGCATCTGGTTATCATTGACATCTACTTGATCTTGAGTTTTAAAGTGTGTGTTGTCATCACCTTCATATCTACCAATACGTAGGAGAATGGAGTTGAATAACAACACTAAATATCATGTCTTTCATCGTGCAAGTTTTGTTACTTTACTTAAACAACACTATTCAATCATATCGTTAACATTTCAATGTAGTTTGTTATACTGCTTTAAAAAAAACTTCTTGATAAAATATCTAAGCATCTAGAGATTTGTTTTCATGATAATATTGCATATTGTGACATTATGTTTTTATCAAGTTATTTGGATATTTTAGCCAGTTGACGTAGAAGGTGAAACAACCGATATTTCAAGTTTCAAGTATTATCATAGCCTTGTGAGTTTGTTGAAGTTAATATAGGATTTCTTATACTTCCTTTCACCCAGTTCAATTTTTTATCAAATTGTTTGAAGACCCAAAGGCAATGTTAAGAAAACTAATAATTTCTGGTCATGGCTATGATGGTAGTAGCTCTAATTATGTGTTCCTGGTTTATTTTGTCACTATAAAATACACTTTTAATTCTAATCGTTACTCTTTATGTTTAGAGTTAGATCCTTTTTACAGAATGCGCCTTCTTGAAATCACTATTTTCTATGACTTTGGTGTTATCATCCTGATATCTACTGCCTTTCTTAAGGATATTTTACATGAAGCATATATATTCAGCTTTCTAGCTGTTAATAATTATATAATAAAAGTTTCTGTGATCCTTTTTTCTCTCAAGCAAGGGTGAATAGCACAAACCAAATAAGAACTTACTAGCTGTAATTTTATTTTGGCAGATAGACTCCTAGATTATCTGTTTTTTTTTTTTTAATACTTCTACCCAAATTTCACCCAGGGTAAAAGGGTCAAATTCTCACCGAGGTGATCTATCTGCTAAAATCAAACTACATGGATAACAAGTTCCAAGCGCAATATTAAGTAGGTTTTCTGTGCAATTAACCCTTTGAACAAAGTCCACGGTCCTTCGCGTATATAATGACATCCTGACCATTTTTTGCTCCGTGGAATCTAATCACGCAAGTTGGGTACAGTGAAGCATCTCTTTCTCAGTGTTCCTGCATCCATTTCATGTGATATGCTCATCTTTTGAAAGCATCTTCTAAAGGAAACATCTGTTTGATTGAGAATTTGTGTTTCTGCAACCGGGTATTTGTCAAGTTCATTATTGAAGCAGTCCACTTCCATGGATCAGTCTCATCAGAAGGTACGCCTTGCTTTTCTATTACTTCTTTCCTGCTATCAAGAAAAGGTAATTAGTAGTTGCCAGAAGAAAGAAAAAAAAAAGGAAAAAGCTCAAAATTATTAGGAACCCTGCGTTATGGGAATAATTTGTGGGCCATCCATTATTGGTTTGATGCAGCGCCCAAATTCTTGTTCCCTGGATGACTGTTTTTGTGTCTTCATTCACAATACTGTGCACAAAATATTCCAGTTTTTGTTCTTTCTTCTTTCTTTGGAAAACTCTAGTTGGAGCGCATTTCGCATCTCTTTTGTCGCCTCATGTATAGCGTTCATAAAGTTTTGAACTTTCTCCATCATTGTTCAACAATGTAATTTTCATTCCTTTCGGATCGAGTAGCAAATGCCACTGCTGCACGCATGAACGATACTGAACTTTTATGTAATATATTGCAGTTATTTTCATTTTGGATCAGTCGATTGTTTTGGATGTGCCACAGCATGCCGCGGTACGCATGCAGTCTGCAGACTTTTTATGTTAATTATTTTGAGAAAGGCTGGAAAATGTTACTGATGCACATGAATAAATAGGTATCCTTAAAAGTTAAACCAACGAATGGAGTGAAAGCTTGTCATTTGCAGAATCATCCATCTCTTCCTGTTCTGAATTTAGTTTTGGAATTTGATCTCGGGTAGAGTCTGAAAGCGTAAGGTCTAGTTAGAAGTGGACTTATACGAGGCTTGGTTTGACTCCTTAAGAATTTGAGTAGTGCTGGGCAAAAGAGGCTAGCATTAAATCTGATTTTGCTAGTTTAAAGTCTGGTCCTTATCCGGGTTAGTCCCCTAGATTAGGACGAACATGGTTAAGACCTTAATTGGGTTAGTGTGGAGTTGTCGAACTGAGCTGAAGTCTTTCCCCTCTAAATAACACGTTCTATATATGTCACACGTCAGTTTACATACTGCGCGCCATTAATTTCTTACTTCCCTGAGGCGTCCAAAGGCGTGGCTAAACCTGTTGCGATATTCGTATCGACATTCGACAGATTTGCGCCCTCTTGTGGAAAATTCGGATGGATGCATTGTGGCGGTCAGCACAAATTAACGACGCCATTATCGGAGGGGGGAAAATGTAGGAGTTCAATCTGAGACGTCTTCATCTCCACTGTTTTTATCTCGTCACCACCAGTTTTTGAGCATCACTTGACGTAGCTGGGGTGTGAAACTAATGGAAACAGTAGACTGAGGATCAGCGCAATCATGTACTAATATTGAGACTTACGTAAATATTATTCCTCCCTGTATAATTTTCTATAAATGACCTCCATCTGTGGGTACAGTTCAGACAGTCCTTAAAGTCTGTAGTACGACAGCATTCACCATGCTACTAACGGAATCTGCGAGCTGATGTGTGAGCGTGTGCCTCAGAAACATGGGCCTAGCCCATTATGATTCCCGTCTAAATGTTATTACCTAGGCCCAACTCAAAAGTCCCGTTTCCATCCAAAACAAATGGTACCGGTTACAACTACGGCTTCTTTGGCAAATTGTACGAATCTGGGCAGGGATGGGTTTTAACTACGTATAAGTGAAACTGATCGATGCTATTTTGAACTTTGGGGGAGGTGGTTCAAAATAGAATCAGATTAATGGTCTATTTTTGGGTTAAGAAAAGCTTAAGCCGGCTTTGGCCTAGTTTTTCTTTCGATCGGAATTTTTCTTAAAATTAGACCAGGTTTGAACCTAGTCCAATTTTGAGTGATTGCAAAACAGGAAAGCAAGCCGTTTAGTCCAATTAATGCACATTTAGATAAGTTTTAAGAGACTTGGTTTCATTATTCCAATTGAAGCTTCCTACTTTGAGAATAAAATAACTCATATAAGTCCTCAATAAGTAGAATGAAGCATACGCTATGCAGCTGTTTGGGGAGGTTAATATTTTGTTCAAACTATAGCTTTTAAGCTATCTTTTTTATTTCTACTTGTTTGGTAAAATATCAAATAAGCTAGCTTATAAGTCTCATTTCGAAAAGCTAGTACAACCCAGCTTTTGAAAAAACTAGTTTATAAACTCACCTAAAAAAGCTAGGTTTGACCAAGCAAATTACTACTCTACTCAAACAATTTTTATAGTATTTTTTATCAAAAAAGCCAAAAGCCATTAAAAGTCGGTATAACTAATAAGCTTCAAAAAAGAAGCCTTCTCAAACACCCTCTATATCATATATATGCAATGACAAAGATATATAACCCCTTTTTATAACTAAACCAAGCTAAAACTTGATTTTTTCCCCCCCATAAAAATTACCCTCAAGTGTTGAAAATTGAGCTGAACAAATAAGATATGCCTACTCAAATTATTAACTCATTGTCGTCTCTTTATGGTAGTTGCTAATTTTTTGTCAAGAAGCAATGCTC